AGAGAGAGAGAGAGAGAGAGAGAGAGAGAGAGAGAGGTATAGGAGGTGGTAACTAAAAAGGGTTTAGCCTATGGCCCTTTAGTTCCCTCTTATTTATAAAGGTTTTTATAAACTTGCCATAATGGATCATGCCCTATTGGGTACTAAATTTCTATCCAACTACTCAAGTTTCTTACTCTGATGGATCCGACGGATATCTCATATCTGAACCTCTACTCGTTGCAACATCTATCATATGTGTATGACTCTCTAGACATAATATCAAGTTGGCCGAGTCATATATGTCAGAACTTCTTTTGGCTCAATAAATTATTATCTCCATAATAATTCACTCGACTCATCGACTACAGACATATTAGGCCACTACGTCATAGTCCCCAGATAATACAAGAAAATATAATCCATTGGACCTATTTGTCCTTAGTTATCATGTATCTATAGTCCCTCATTTATCTAATATCCCAAAGACTGAATATTGGGCATGGTGCTATCAGACCTATATAGAATCTACTCAAGTCTCGCTCTGATCGGATTCTCCTGGAGAACTCTTTTCTCTCTTAATCCAAATGACCATGGCTAGGGATTTACTTGAGCAAAAACACATAGAACATTTCTCTTTTATGACACCGAGAGTGGATGATCATTTATCGACACTTAATAGCTTTTAGGGACCCAAATTATCTTATGTGGACTATACCTCTTAAATGGAGCATAATATCCAAATTTGTAACAAAGTTACATTTGTTTCTTTCAGGGTAAAATATGTAAAGTCAGGCTTTTAACAAATTTGGTTGGTTTTTGGTGAGCGTTACTTACAAAGTTGATTCTCTTCTATGAACATGATCCCTTTTTGCAATGATCATGTTTAAAGATGTACTTCCTATTTTAAATTTTTCTAAGGTTTGATGTAGTAACAAATTTTTCTTATCATGTTTTGTACAAGGATGCAATATTTCATTATCATGCTTAATATTTAATCTATTGAATTCACTAACAAGAGAGGCATGCTCATTTTTTTAATAATTTATACTTTTTACTAACTAATTTACATTCATTAAATAAATCATGAAAAGTATTCAACAATTTATTAAAGGATAAATAAGTTACTTGCCTCATAGCCAAGCACCATTAAAGCATAGTTATCAACTTTTTTTGTTAGTTGGCTCCTAGTATTTGAACTTGTTTGAATTGTCATAAGTAGCTTTTAGCATTTTCTTCTTTTTTGGTTGCTTTTTCTTCACTTGGGGATATTCACTTTTGAAGTGCCCCGATTTTTTACATTTATATTAAATTATTTAATTTTTTTATGATTTTTTTTAATTTTCTTGTTAGAAGTGCCAAGTCATCATCATCATCATCACTTGAGTTTTCTCTCAGGTGGTCTTTTTGAGTTCTGAGTGTCAAATCCTTCCTATTCTTTAGAAGGTTATTCTCAAGTTCTTCATGTATATTACATATCATTTCGTATGCCATCAATGACCCGATAAGTTTTTCGAGTGAAAAGTTGTTCAAGTCATTGGCTTCTTGAATTGCAGTTACTTTATGATCCAAACTCTTTGGAAGGTTGTTCTCAAGTTCTTTTTGAGTTCTGAGTGTCAAATCCTTCCTATTCTTTGGAAAGTTGTTCTCAAGTTCTTCATGTATATTACATATCATTTCATAAGTCATCAATGACCCGATAAGTTTTTCGAGTGAAAAGTTGTTCAAGTCATTGGCTTCTTGAATTGCGATTACTTTATGATCCCAACTCTTTGGAAGGGATCTTAATATCTTATTAACAAGTTCAAAATTAGAAAAACTTTTGTCAAGTACTTTTAGACCATTGATAACATCCGTAAATTGGGTATATATGTCTTCAATGGTCTCGCTTAATTTCATTGGAAACAATTCATAACTATGAACCAAAAGATTGATTTTTGACTCAACCCTACTCATGCCTTCATGTGTGATTTCACGTGTATGTCAAATGTCATAAGTCATTTCATAAATAGAAACTCGATTGAATTCATTTTTATCCAAAACATAAAATAAATCATTCATAGCTTTAGCGTTCAAAGAGAAAGTCTTCTTCTCCAAATCATTCCAATCGTTCATTGGAAGAGAAGACTTTTGAAATCTATTTTCAATGATATTCCATAACTCGAAATCTATATAAATCAAGAAAATCCTCATTCTAGTTTTCCAATATGTGTAATCTGTTACATTGAACATGGGAGAGGACGTGTGATAGAATGACCCTCATGATTGCTAGCAAAAGTCATCTCTCTTGGGCTTTAAATCAAATTGAAAGTAACCTTATTCTGATACCAATTGTTAGGATTAATACGACATTAAGAGGGGGGGGGGGGTGAATTAGTATAGTAATAAAAATTATGAT